TTACACATGACTCAAGTTACAGTGGTACTTAAAGATGTGTTTGCTTTTTWAAAAAGGTATCTGAAATTAAATAAACAGACTGGTATAAAAAACAGTTTTGATTTCACTTCCGTGAACGTGGTGCCATCTATTAATGTTATTGTGGCCACATCTAAAACAATAAGGTACCTGTTAAAACTGATGGGGGTAAAACAGGTCGTTTACGCAACACACCAATCAAACGGTCACGAAATGTTAAGGATGGAAAAATCGCGCAAACTTTCCTAAAAGTTAATGAACTCCAGCGAGTAATAATAACGCTCGCACTTTTCGAGAAAACCCGTGAACCGTAAACGGTTTCCGTTTCAGGTTGAAAACATGCTAACGTTAGCTTTGAGCTAACCGGCTACCGAGCAAAGGAGCCCAGATGACACAGCAAAAGAATCCGAGAAAAACAAACTAGCACGATCCCTCTTTTGAAGATTCACGGTACAGCTCTACCGTGACACGTCAAACGTCAACGKAACGAATTGGCGCATTTTCGAAAGAGGTTTTGTTTTAAGAAATTTAAGCTAGGAGAGAAAAGGACCCTAGCAGACTGAATCGTTTAAAGTAACGCAGCTAGCATGCTGTATGTGGCAAGAGAGAGCTCGTCACGAAAGCAACCAACACTGCCAATCGTTTTCTCTAGTAAACTAGCTAGCATGTTAATGTACATTTTGACAAATGTTGAAGATCATAATACTTGTCGCATTACAAGTTTGATACCGGTTCCAAAGGCAGGCGAATGACTGGTAGATAGGCCAATTTATCGGCGTGACGGCGGATGATTTTGGCCTTGACGCTGTTGCTAAGCTAATGTTAGCATTAAAGAACGACAGCGATGACTGTGCTTGTAGAAGTCAATGGCTCAGTACTGGTAAACGGCTCAAGACAGCTGTGTGGCTGAACAACATATTTTGAGTTTAATAGAAAACTTCCAGTTTGCAAGAAATCTTTTAACAATAGAGMTGAGCTTGAAGAAGCTGACCCCATTAGCTCTCCAGCTAGCATTTGAGCTAACTTAATAAACTAAAGCAGCTAACGTTAGGCATTTAAAGGCTACTTGTTTAGCCATCGTTTCAAACGATGTATTTTTACAAATGYTAAGAAAATTGTATACTTACTCCCCTCCCGATGCCATTGTCGTCCACCTGGATTGATAAATATAAACGAATTTAAACTAAATATTGAAGAGACGTCACCGGTTTTCGTAGCTGAACGTTCTGTGATTTCACACGAAAAGAGCAATAGTTCCCGTTGCTTCTTTACGGTTATAGCATGAGCCGCATACATACGTCATTCTGATTGGCTGGAGTCTACCCCGAAACTCGACAACCAATCARAACTGCTGTCTCTTTCGTCACTGTGGAGTTTAGCCAATTACAAAGGAGAGGTAGTCTTCAACTTTTCTCTTATTGGCTCCTATTGGCTTATTACCACCCAGTTRACGTTCACCGCGTTGATATTGAAGAACCGTAAAAATGTACAATTTACTTTGCTCATTGTAACTGAGTAATACTGGCATCTTACACAACTATGAATCAGTCAAAGTCATGTACTTTACTGCAATGACTTGACTATTTTGTTTAATTCTATACCATAATACATGATAAAGCAAAAGCAAAACAATCCAAAATAGCAAATAATTTTACAAGACAATACAATTCATAGTATTCTGCCAAAATTTAGTTTTTGCCTTCTTTTATTTTAGTATGACATGCAAATTAAATATTGTAGTAGAATTGATATCAGTTTGTGCAAGAATTTTAAATAATAAATAAATTGCATCAAATTCATAATTCATTATGTTTTTATTATTATTATTTTATTGTCCCCAAATGATTCAAGTTTTTTTTAAAGAGTTGTAGGTTTCATTTCAAAAGACAATGAAAGCCACTCTTGTTTATGAGGTGATGGACACACATTCCTTTTTATCTCCAAGCTAACTACAAAGGATGGAGTTCATGTAATCTGCGGCGAAGTTCTGTAGAATCCAAAGAAGGACCAGTCTGAGGTTCTTGTACGTACACAGGAAGAGTCCTGCAAATTTAAAGACATGAATAGTTAGCAGCAGTACTTCAATTTCCTAAATCTCATCAGCTTTTGCCTACTGATTCATAGTTTATACTAAAATAAATGTGATATTTAAACTCAGAAGTGTTGCATCTATACTGCGTATAAGATAGTAAACACTCAGTCAACACAAGAAGGTTTCTTACTCTGTTAAGAATTGAGTGGGAAGTGCCCAGGTCTTTTCCCAACAAGCTGCTGCTTCGCACCTCCTGCCGAGCCTCCACAGCACCTCACCACACCACAAACCTGCACCCACACCCCCTGTGACAGAACACACASAGTGATTACCAACAAAGAACTACACAAATAAAGCACATACACATTGTGGTTCCATAGCACAAATGAGGTAATGATAACATTTTGTGGCTTAAATGTCAAAGAAAACGTGTTAACAGTGTAAAAACACAAGAGGGCCTTTTTCAGACAGATATGAATATCACAGTTTCAATGAAACACCCTATTTTCAAGGTTTTGCTTAAATGCYATTTCAGTATCAGGACAGAAAGAAACAATGATGCAGATTGTGTTTATCAGTTTCTTCATGTTCCTTTTGCCTCGTCACACCCAAACCAAGTATCTCAACCAACTCTGCTTCTAGATTACAGCCACACACAYAGACAGCATACATGAAAGCTTATTTAATCCACATTTATCTCACCTATTTTAGGTCTGAAAGTTCTAATCTACACACTTGTGCTCAACCTTTTGCTTTATTTTTAACCTACACCGACTCTCAAAACAAGACACAGAACATACTTAATGTTGCCAACGTATGGAAAAGCTTTGTGCTATGCTTTAGGCCAGTGGTTCCCAAAGTTAGGGTCGGGACCCAAAGTGGGGTCCCGAAACATCAAGGTGGGGTCCTGAAAAGATTTTCTAAATTAATTACATTTTTGCCTTAGTTGTTACCTAAAATGTATAAATGTAGAATAATAAATATTGTTAGTATGCCTGTGTTTAGTTGACCTGATACAAATGTTTATCATCCAAAAATAATTGTGGGCACAGGTCTCTGCTACTGTTATTTTGTGGGTCAAAAGCTGAAAAATTTGGGAACTACTGCTTCAGAAATCAATTTAAAGGGTAATAAAATAATTGGTGATGTAATATTTTCCCTATAATTATTACAAAAACACAAAATAAGTATAAATAAGTATTTATATTTGTGTATCCTTTGTTTTTAGGGTTATTAACAAAGTTTGTGTACTTAGATTTGGGGTCACAAGTTTTTGTCATGAATATTTTGTGGGTCAGAAGATAAAAAGTTTGGAAACCACTGCTTTTGGCAACAGTTTACTGTATTTAATGTAAACATATTGAAAATAACAGGACCATATTAAATATTTTTAATGTCTGAGAGCCACAGCATTAATTAGTTGCTACAAGGATAGAACATGGCAAAAATAATATTTAAGTTTTGCTGCATGTGCTGTAATTTTACACCAGTGGTGTGTGTACCTGGAAGGGCCTGCAGGCTGTGCTGCAGGTCTCTGAGGGCCTCTTTCAGACGGTCCATCTGGACRAAACTGATACCTCTACCAGATAATGAAAGTCCTTTGAGCCTTTGAAGGATGCAAAAACCTGCTCCCTGATGAACATCTGTATCTGCACCAGGGATTTGTGTTTGGAAACCTGCAACTGACCATGAAATGAATAAATAAGCAGGAACTGAATGAGCAAAAAAAATATTTATTTCAGTAAAACACTCACCTCTCTTTTTATAGTGCACCTTCACCAACAGATTAATACACCTTGAATACAAAATGTCTGTTTTAGTTTAAAAAAAAACTCCAAAACTTATGTTCTCGATTAATCCGTTTTTCCCCCTGACCTTGTATAGTGGGTCACAGCTAGTTTCCAGTCCTTCGTGTGAGCGYAGCAGTGACCCTGAAGGAGGTAGGCAGCTGCAGTCCAGAGAAACATCGCCAACCCATCCTCACCCTCGTCTTTCACTCCCGTCGCKGCCGCATTTACCTCCTCGGATTCTTCCAACAACACTTTCTGTGGAAGCAGATCYTGTGTCGTGCTGATGACCTCATTGCAGAGCGCCATACAGCACGCAGGCCGCTGGGCCATGAGCAAGGCAGCTCCAGCCTCCAGGTAGAGCCTGGGTAACTTTGGGAGGGTGGAGACCTCGGCGTGCCCCTGAGACAGCGTACAGTAAACACACGTCAAATAAAATGTTCAGAAAGTATTCATTCCCTGGGTATTTAATGTTTAAATAAATTTACTTGAGTGTCCGTTTTTGTTTTTGCTCCTACTCTGTGTTGATCTTCTGAGTGAAGAGCAGCCAGCAGGTCCAGATAATGCTCCACACCCTCTGAGGCTCTGCAGAAACAT